AGAAAAGGCTAGAGTAGAGCAAATTAGAACTGAACTAGTTCAGTTAGAAAGAAGAATTCGTAGCCTAGCTTCGATAAGCAACAGAGAAGCTGAAAACACTACCTCGTCCTCATCTGTTATCGAACCAAGCCATATTCAACACCCAGTTTCACAAATCCATACTAGCAAGATCATTAAGCCACCCACGTTTGACGGTTAGACAACATGGGAAACGTATCGCCTCCAATTTGAGGCTGCAGCTAGAGCCGATGGCTGTGCTGAAAAGGAGAAGGCGGCTGCATTGATAGTGTCGCTGCGAAGACAAGCAGCAACCGTTTTACAATTTCTCCCTCAAGAAGAACCCAGTTATTCATCTCTAGTCCAAGCTTTGGAGACAAGATATGACCAGCAGCATTTGAAACGGGTATTTCAAAGCCAGCTAAAGATTTGTAGTCAGAAACATAATGAGAGTCTACAGGAATTAGACATAAAAAGATTGATTCATCTGGCCTATCCACAGGCTCCCTAAGATTTCCAAGAACAAATCGGAATAGAGGCATTCATTGATGGACTACAAGATGCGGGAATGCAGCATGTCCTTCGTCTACAACATCACAAGACGCTGAAGGAGAAACTGATTGCAGCCCAGGAATATAATAATAATAAATACATCGACATCAATATAAACAATTTATCGAATAAAGTGATAAGGCGGATAAGTACATGAGTACTTGTTTCGGCTGATTAAAAACATATAACAATAAAACTAATAGTAATATGAATAAAACTTCTTAGCAATTGTCTAACACATAGGTACAATATTTCATAGAAAGTGAAAAGAATTAAATAACATTACATTGTCAATACCAAAAAAATTTCTATGAAATTAAAATCAAATATTTAATAAAAATACAATACAATATAAAAATTAACATATCACATAACAAAACAAATCATAAATTTAATAAAATAACAAAATTTTTATTCACTTTAGAAATGACATTATTAATTAAACTTCAAGAAAATATCCACCATATTCAGCGGTTTCCTACGCAAATATTCTTTAACTTTTTTTTTAAATAAATGTTTGTTATTAATTATTTTAAATTCGTTAGGTAGGGAGTTGTATAATTTTAAGGACATATATCCATATGATCTTTGCGTGCATGTTTTTAGCATCGTTGGAGGAATATACAAATGATTTAGGCGGGTAGAGTACGAGTGAATTGGAAGCATAGCCTCGTATTTTGTTTTATTGTGAAATAAAGCACAGCAATTTAAAAAATATAATTGTCTAATAGTTAAAAGTTTTGTTTCTTCAAAGAGTGCTTCTGTATTATACACACATTCTTTTCTGTAAATTATTTTTAAAGGCCTTTTTTGAACTACTTCCAATGACGAATGAATGAATTTTTAAAGCGCCACTCCAGGCACATATACCGTAACGAAGATTAATGATAAATATAACAGCCGTATGTATTCAAAAGGTAATATGTCTTTTTATATGTTAAATTTATACAAAAAACATCGCAGTTTATTTACAATGTGTTCTATATGTAGGTTCCACTTTAGTTGAGAGTCGATAATTATTCCTAAATATTTAATTTGTTTTACAGGAGCAATCAAAAAAGATCATGCTCACTGTCCACATTAATATTAAAATTAGGTAAAGCAGATGTTATGCAGCTAAAGGGCAAGTAGTGGGTTTTTAGCTTATTTACAGTCAGTAATTTAAAATCAAGCCATTTTTTTATTATACTAAAAATTTTTTCAGCCTTTTGTTTCAGGTTATACCAATTGTCAGCTTCAAAGAAAATGGCAGTATCATCTGCAAAACCAATAATTTTCCCATTGCACTTTAAAGAAAACATCATTAACATATAAATTAAATAACGTTGGTCCCAACACAGACCCCTGTGGTACTCCATATTCCAAGACCCTTTCGCTGCTGAGTACATTATCGACTTTTACAACCTGAGTTCTATTACTTAAGTAATATTTAAACAGGTTTAGTACATTATTTCTAATGCCGATATCATTTAGTGATTGTAACAGTAGTTGATGACTCACAGTATCGAAGGCCTTGGACAGGTCTATGAATATGCACAGACATGGTTTACTTTTATTAAGGGAATTAGTTATTGTCGATGTCAAAGCTAGTACAGCATCTTGTGTAGAAGTATTTTCCTTAAAACCAAATTGATTTTGAGATAATACATGGATTTTTTTATATGACGAAAGACGTTTTTTAATTATTTTTTCAAATACTTTAGACATATCAGAAATAAGTGAAATAGGTCGATAATTACCAACATTTGTGTCATCCCCTGTTTCGTATACAGGAATTACTAGACTTTTTTTAAAAATAGTTGGATATTTACCTTCCTCCACACATCGGTTTAGAACATAAGTAAATGGTTCTAGGATATAATTAGTAATACTTTTTATTGTTTCACTCCGTAAGTTATCCGTACCGGTTGCTTTTTTATCTGGCAAGAAATTACCCTTGAAAGTCTGAGACAGGGTCAGAAAAAAGACAATGACTTAAAGGTTGTCCGAGAATGGCTCAAAAATAAAGTCACACCTACTTGGCAAGAGATAGCCAAATACAGTAGAAAACTATAAAAGGCTACTGGGCCCAGTGGGATTCCCTGTATCTTCACGATGGCCTATTGCACCGGAAGTGGGAGAGCCCCGATGGAGTACATGTAGTCCGCCAAGTGATTCTGCCGAAATCACAGGTCAGAAATGTATTGGAGGAGCTTCATAGCAGTCGTTCAGGAGGTCACTTTGGTACTAAAAGGACACTTGCACGAGTTCTGAAAAGATTTTATTGGGTCAATTGCCGAGGGGATGTAGCGGATTGGTGTAAAAATGTGATGAATGCAATGGCAGGACAAATATCTACGGAACGACTGGAAGCCAAAAGCGATAAAGCAGAAGCTAGAATCGACAGGCGTGCCACAGGGACACATTTTGAGAGAGGTGACCCAATACTGCTGTACACTCCCAAGGATCGAGGAGGATTTTGCCAGAAATCGCAACGGAACTGGGGCCGTCCTTAAGGAAGATCAACGACCTGATCTACCGCATTCAGCTGTCAGCTGGAAGTAAATCCAAGGTAGTTCACATTGGGAAGTTAACGCAATTTCGCCAGATCCTTCCCATTAGCTCTAACCGTTCCCAGTAATCAAGTTATTCGGGGCGAATAACTAGAGAGGAGGGAGCAATGTTACGCAACACCCTGTAGCGTGCTGCGGTCGTCATAAGTAAAGGTACGAGTAAATGAAGAAGATAGAATATTCTCGAAATGTCTCGAAATGTCATTCCTTGTCAAAGAAAAGTCGAGGCAAGCTATATAAGTCGACGACCTGACGTCAGTTGGCAGTTTTATGATAGATGTTACATGTTAATGTTATCAGTTGTATCGTTATTGTTAAAGTTGAATTGAGTTATTGTAAAGTTGAATTAAAATAAATTGTGATACCAAAAACCAGTGTAACAATATATTGCTTCAAGTTTGCAATTTTCTTAAGAAAGATAATAAATTTTAATATTTTGGAATTATTAATGTTCCGGTCATCAAAATAGTTACAAAATTAAATTTACAATTATTTCAATTTAATAAATATTCCAACAAAGTTTGAAAACTTTTGTAATTAATGTGAACTGAGTATATCTAATGACGCCTATGGACTCGAGACTCATCTCTGCGTAAATCTTGAATCGATTGCATATATTTTTTTGGTAACCTGACAGCCTCGATTGCCAGGAAGGAGCCTTATTGTTGATTTTTGTAATATCATTATTATTTTGTTATTACCTTCATTCACCTTTGATTACAAATTTCATTTTTACAACTACAAATTGTTTTAACTGACGGAATCTGCAAAACAGTGTTATATTGTCCTTAATGTGAAGTTTATATAACATTTAAAGCCTTCAATTTGGAAGAATCAAAACTCACCACTTTAAGGTGATTACAGCACCCCCTTATAATTTTCGGACAAGGATATCTTAAAAAGTAATTTTTTTAGAAAATGTAAATTTGGGCAAAATAAATTAGGCAATAATATCTAAAATATGCATACTTTTTAAAGTTTAATTCCTTCCAGTTTCCGAGAAAAAAAATCAAAGGACTTTAAATTTTAAAATATCATAATGAAAATAAATGCATTCCTCAACAGCACTATTCTTAATATAATCCCCAAATTTAAGCTCTTAATCTCTTGTTAATGATTTTTTAAAATTCGCCGAAATTAGTGGCTAAAACGCCTCGTTAAGTGCTTCTTTTTAGTGTAACGCGTCTGTAACTATCGTATCGTACACTCTCAGTCATCATTCGTTTCTTGCAATGATTTACACCAGTTTACACCAGTTTAAACCAGAAAATAGCACTTAACAAGGCGTTTTAGCCACTAATTTCGGCGAATTTTAAAAAATCATTAACAAGAGATTAAGAGCTTAAATTTGGGGATTATATTAAGAATAGTGCTGTTGAGGAATGCATTTATTTTCATTATGATATTTCAAAATTTAAAGCCCTTTGATTTTTTTTCTCGGAAACTGGAAGGAATTAAAATTTTAAAATATATGCATATTTTAGATATTATTACCTAATATATTTTGCCAAAATTTTAATTTTTTAAAAAAATTACTTTTTGAGATATCCTTGTCCGAAAATTATAAGGGGGTGCTGTAATCACCTTAAGTATTATTATTCTTTATTTATTAACTGTTAATACAAAAATGATATCTTTCTAATGTTGTACATACCCATCGATGTACTACCTGGGCGATAACAAATCAACACAAGAAAAAAAATTAATATCCCAGTGGCGTATCAGTAATATTTACAATATACAACACTTAAAATTCCAAAAATACTGGTATTAGATTATATCGTAAGAAATAAACTTACAATTTAGCCAGTTTTGCCACATGTTCAAATTGTAAAAAAAACACTGTATATATTATTTATTTTTAGGCTGTTTTTGTCATATTATATTTTCATTATTTAGCAATGAACAACGGAAGATGCAACTGGCCCAGAGGAAAGGTCATAGGCGGCTCGTCGGTCCTAAACTACATGCTGTACCTTCGAGGAAATAAAAAAGACTACGATCTCTGGGAATCGATGGGCAATCCAGGATGGGGCTATCAAGACGCCCTTTACTATTTTAAAAAGTCAGAAGACAATAAGAATCCTTATTTGGCCAAAACTGATTATCACTCTACCGGAGGATTTCTGACGGTGTCAGAAGCCCCTTATCATACGCCACTGGTGGCCGCGTTTTTGGAAGGAGGAAAGCAGATGGGTTATGAGAACAGGGACATCAATGGGGAGTTTCAGACTGGATTCATGATGGCTCAAGGTAGGTCACAACATAATAATAGGAATGAACAAATATCCATCTTTTGAATTTAATTGCTTTTTCGATCATTTCTGCCATTGTGGCCATCATCTGTAAAACAAATTAATATTAAAATAAATACATTCCAATACTCAACTGACACTTAAAAGACTATTCTACCAAGTTGCGATTATTTTTTGGTGTATGAAAGCATCGAATTGAAGGACACACTGGGCTGAAAGGTACAATAGTAAATTCTCCCAATATTTGAATCATTAAAACAGAAATTTTATTGTTTATAATCATGCTCTTGGACGTTCTTTTTTTCTCTCTCTATATCTGTCACGCTTGGATTGTCCCTCGACCGTTGGGCCTCACTAGGTCAATTTTTAAATGAATGAGAGCGTTGGGCCACACATTTATGGCTACGGCTAACGTACTCACAGCTTGGACAATGTGTATGGTCTGTCCCATGAGTAATTTCCGATTGTTTATTTTGATTTCACAAGTCCCATGTTCTTTTGAACTTGGCTGCATAGTACTGATAAAGACCAACAGACAAAAACATGTGACTAGGGTTTACTTTATGGTTTTCTCTTTTTGATTTGCGAAATATGCCCATTATTCCTGTCTTTTTTGATAAACTTAATGTAATTTTTACAGTAATAAAAAAAATGTAGTTAAATGGAGACAGTGAATATTCAAATCTGGTGCTAATGGACATAAAAATAAGCATTATTTTAAGCTACATGAATAGACACTTTTACCTTGGATAAATCTTTTTCGGGGAGCTTGAGATTTTTCCTTGGTTGTGAGACAACGAATATTTACTCTTTTTCGGAGAGTTTGAAATATTCCTTTGGTTCTTAGACAACGAATCTTTCATTTAATCTTTTATATTTTTTTACAGGAACCGTGAGAAGAGGATCCAGATGCTCAACGGGCAAAGCATTTTTGAGACCAATAAGACTACGTCCCAATTTGCATATTGCCATGAACTCACACGTTACCAGAGTTTTGATAGATCCAATGTCAAAAATCGCATTTGGTGTGGAATTCTATAGAAATGGTAAACTATACAGGTCAGTCATCATCTAGAAATTACTAAAATTATATACAGGGTGTCCCATTAAGGATGGGATATAAAACAACTGATATTCTCCAATTCAAAATGCGACAAACCATTAAACGAAATATTTTTATATATTATATTAAATTTTAAATAGAATTTTATATTGAATATGTATATTCAATTTTATATTGAATTTTTAATTGAATTTTATATTAAATTTTATATTGAATTTTATATAGAATTTTGTAAAGAATTTTATGTATAATTTTATGTATAATTTTATATAGAATTTTATAAAGAATTTTATATAGAATTTTATATAGAATTTTATAAAGAATTTTATATAGAATTTTATATTGAATTTTATATAGAATTTTATATAGAATTTTATATAGAATTTTATATAGAATTTTATATAGAATTTTATATAGAATTTTATATTGAATTTTATATTGAATTTTATATTGAATTTTATATTGAATTTTATATTGAATTTTATATTGAATTTTATATTGAATTTTATATTGAATTTTATATTGAATTTTATATTGAATTTTATATTGATATTCTTTATTGATATTCAGGTAACAAAAAATATAGATATAGAATTTTATATACAATTTTATATAGAATTTTATATAGAAATTTTAAATTTTTTATGTTTAACAATTTTTTTATAATTAGTTGTGGTTCTTTCCTTGGTAATATCTACCAATGATCATGTTATTAAGATTATGTCTTATTTGATAATGATTAATAAAATTTTTGTTTTTAGTTTTAAAGAATATAATATACAATTGCTCAGGTAGTAAAGACATCAGATATATCCTGATTAAACATACATTTTATTTTCAATGAGAGAATCTGTTTTTCTATGTCTCATTTTTAATGGGACATCCTATATATTTCTTGATATTCAATACTTAATTCATTTTTTTCGTTGATTTTTAAAGAATCAGAGTGAAGAAAGAGGTCATCCTGTCAGCGGGTTCAGTGAACTCTCCTCAACTATTAATGCTGTCCGGAGTCGGCCCGAAACAAGAATTAAACAAACACAAGATCCCCGTCATTCAGGACTTGAAAGTGGGGCACAATCTACAAGATCATATCGGTCTCGGAGGGCTAACGTTCCTTATTAACAAACCGGAGTCGATTACGTTGGATAGGATTTATTCTGTAGGTAAGGAACCACACAAAACTAGAATACATTAGAAATTTTCATATACATGGTGTTTCAAAAAGGTATGTCATAAATTCTTTCTCAGATAGATTACCAAAAAAACAAGTGGATTTGGCTATATTGACCTATATCATAAACTGGCTCCCAACAAAGTTACAGGGTGTTAAAAAGTTTGCTGTTGCGATTTTTTCTTTGAAATTTTTGCCAGTGCTGTAGATTTGAAGGCCTAATATTCTAAGGGCCCCCTTAAAAAAAGTTGGAGGTTGGGTACCTTTTAACCCCCCCCGTATTTTTTTTGACATAAAGAAACTTGCTCTATGATCGCAGAATATTAACATCCCATTCTCAACATAACATATGCAACTAACAAAACAAGAAAGTAATACTGGTTGCATAGATGTAATTTTTTGCCAAAACACAATTTTATAATTTAGTCAAAATTGGAAAAAATATCACAGATTTCACGGAAAAATGGATTAAAGATATAATACAAAATACCAAGGAAGAGAATATCGAAAATTTGGTTTTGCTTCTTTTATGGCCACCTAACGATTCATCGCGTCAAAAGTATTTTCCGAAAACAGCCCTTTTCTTTCATATTTTTCGTGAACTATTGTTTGTATTATTTTTAAGGAACCCTTATGCAATACGTCCTCTTCGGCGGCGGACCACTGACCATCATGGGCGGAGTTGAAGGGCTAGCATTCGTGAACACCAAATACGCCAACGCATCAGACGATTTTCCCGATATAGAGTTCCATTTTGCGTCTGGGTCGACGCATTCCGACGGAGGGGATCAAATTAAAAAGGCCCATGGTTTGACCGACATTTTTTACGACAAAGTCTTTAAACCCATTGAGAAAATGGACGCATGGAGCGTTATACCCATGTTGTTAAGGCCGAAGAGCAGAGGTAAACATATTAATAATATTTTTGTTCAAATTTATCCATGGAAATTAGTTAAATTATTAAAAGAAATATCTACTTTGTAGTATTGTTCATCTTGAATTAGATGTTTGTGATATTTTATTTTGAATCTTATCCCTATTAGCCATTTTATTAATATCAGTTGCAAGATACTTATTTGTTTTTAATGTCTTCTTCCTGCTTAGATCCAAGATCTATATATAATCTTTTTGTGTTAAAACATAATTAATCTAGCTAAAATGACCTAAAGACTTCATGAAGTTCCCCAAATACTTTTTAAAATTACCCATTCTGCGTAAACTTACATATACGAAAGTCTTTTTAATGTTACTTTAAGTCTTCTTAAAATTACCTAAATATAAAAATTATTATAGTAAAAGAATGGTACATGCTAAGAAGGTGACCAGGTCCATCTCTTATTCTTCTGAATCATTAAGAAAGTCAGCTTCATTAGTTTAGGAGTGTTCATTACAATATTTCTGATTGATGGATAAGAATAATTAACCATATCTAATCGTTATTATGTTGTTTCTAGTGTTTTTGTCAAAATCATTTATATTGTCATATTAATGCCAAAAGCATATTCTAGTTTTCCTAAAGGTTCTCATTACACCGACACAGTTTAAAGAATATACTGATATGAATTCCTGCCCTGGCGTAGATCTGAGCACCAAGAACAATATTCCTGAGGGTGTACTTCTCTTTGAAATTTTAAAAACTGATAATAATAAAAACAACATGTTCTCAATCTTCTCTCGGATTCCTGTAATTTCTAAATTCAAAACTAAATTTTCTCCTTTCTGCTATCAGCTGGTATTCTCTGCTATTAACTGCTTTTAGAATTTATAGATTATTCAGACTTTTTCATTATCAATGACAAATAAGAAAATTGGTTCCCTGTCAAACAACTTGTCAATTTAAAATTTTTATAAAACCTTATCTTTTGGATCTCTTTTTCTTTGATTCTTTCAAACAGTTTACTGTTTACTTCTTTCAAAATTTGTGGTCAGTAATGCTCAGATTTCCAAAATATTCATTTATTATCAGTTTCTATACATCAACTAATCTTCACTCTGATTCTTATTGCTGTTGTTTGTTTCTTTGTATCAAGTAACTATTTGGAAATTATTATTATGAAATTTTAAGGATTGTTACAAATTTTGATCTTCCCATCAATTTGGATAATCCAAACTGATTCAAAATTTTTGTCATCCATCAAAATCATAATTTCTATATCAATCAATTAACGTTTGTTTTCTTTTCTTTTACAAATTTACAACTTTTACACATTTCACATAGTGGGTGATATTCTTCCTGATGCTCCAAACACACCCAACAGGAATGATCATCAATCCCCTAAATTATTATATGTACAGGTACAAATGCAACACCCTGTACATATAAAATTTCAAACGAAATTTTTTAACTTTTGGCATAACTAACTCTTGTAACAAATATGCCAATCTTAAGAATTTATAATGAAATTCCTATGCTATAAAACAAATTTAAACCGAACCTGCCTCATATGCATTCAAATCATATATATATATTATTGAAAATACCACGAATTCTATTATTATCTAAACACCTTAATACATAACTATGTTCACCTTCCTTATTGTCTACTATGGTCTGTCCCTCATATGGAAATTGTAATTTTGCACATATGTTTTGTTTCTTATTAGATGTTTTTAAAACCCCTTACTATTACTATATCGCTAATTATTACAATGTTTAACAGGTGTTATAAAACTTCGAAGCAACCAACCTACCGATGCGCCACTTATATACCCTAACTATTTTATGGAGGAGGACGATATGAAAACATTGATAGAAGGAGTAAAAATAGGAGTGAAACTGAGTCTAACACCGGCTTTTCAAGCTTACGAAAGCAGACTAGTTGAGTTTCCGGATTGTGCTCATATAACGAAATTCACAGACAAATATTGGGAGTGTATGATCAGATTATATTCTGTTACTATCTACCATCCCATAGGTGAGTCTTATTTAAAACAATTTGATATTACTAAGCTAAATGCAATTTGCAATATTATGTAGTTGGTTATACTCTTCAGTCATATTTGTGGAGGCTTAACTTCTCCAAGTCTAGTTATTATCAATTCCTGTATTCCTTATTACATAATCTTTAATATCAGTCTGTGTTTAAATGATATATTTTTTCTTTCAGGGACATGCAAAATGGGTCCTTATTGGGACCAAGACGCAGTTGTAGACCCGCAACTTAGAGTGTATGGTATTAAGGGTCTAAGAGTTATAGACGCGTCCATAATGCCCACCATGGTTAGTGGTAACACCAACGCTCCTACGATAATGATTGGGGAGAAAGGTGCTGATCTGATAAAAGAATTTTGGATGAAAGCAGCCAAATATGGAAGAATCCTTCACGGAACTTAATAGAAACAACACAAAAAAACAGGAATAAAGTTACCTAGGAGTGTGTAAGAAGTGTTGCTAGTGTTGTTAGAAAGACGTTAGGGAATTCAGAGACAAAATTCCTATGCCCTGTGTTGAATCGTTTAAAAAATTGAATTTCAATAAGCATTTTCAGTTTGACGAGTTCACAATTGGTATTTAATTTTAAAAGAACTATTAACTAAATTTTCTATTCTTATGAAAATTTCTACTGATAGTTTTTATTTATTTATTCCAAAGACTTTAAGTAATATTTATTTTTGAGTAGGTACCAATTTTAGTATATTAAAGATTTAATATATTTAAAAAACTGTCTTTCTTTTACTAATCTGTTAATTAACAGGTAACTGAAAAAAAATCAATTTATGAAAGGAAGGTAGAGAAAATTAAACTATAAGACTCAAGGGCGGCTCCAAGACGAATTGCATTGCCTTTAGAAATTCCCTTTTTAACATATTTTTTTTGAGTAAAAGGCTCACAAATCGTAAGAATTTGATTTTATCTGTTTATCATCTTACGAAATGCATAAAGAAATATTCAAGCCAAATATAAATAAAAAGATCAACACAAACTCAAACAACAAATTGCAAAAATTAAATCCGAATCCTCCATGCCGACGCAACCAAATTATTCATCACCGACTGATAATAGGACACTCTAAATTAACGCATGAACATCTGCTGAAAATGGATCCAGCAAAAACTAAAACTATTTTGCCTGTGACACCCCGATGAGCGTTGAACATATCATCGTTGAATGTTCACCATTTTAAATGGAACGAGAAGAAAATAACGTTTCAATTGAATTAAAGTGCGCGTTAGCCAAAAAGAAAACAGTAATAAACTTTTAAAAAAAGTTTTTAAAAGCAACAAATTTATACTAACATAATGTAATAATTTATACAATTTCGACTTACCCACTTATTTTATTATCCAACTTCAAGAAATGGTTACAATTAACATACCTGTAACAAATAAGCATAATTAATATTTATAGAAATAACAATAGCAAAAAAGGACAATAATCAAAATGGACCCACATAATTTTATCAGTTTAACTAAAAGAAGTTTTGTAATTTTCTAAAACACACCTGTATGCATAGTCAATCGCCAGCGATTCATCTCGGCGATATCACCAGCAATTTGCTGGCGAAAGCACCATAACAACATGTCAAATAATAGGTGGGAAGTTCTCTTATAGGGACCGTGCGTGAAATATAGAGGCAGCACTACTGCCGAACTTAGCCCTCTCTAGTGTTTAATTTTAGAATTAAATGGGGTAAACATTGCAAGTAAATAATGAAGGGTATTTTTTTAAATATTAAATATAGTTAAAAATAGATACCGGCCCGTACCAAACAATCGTGTACATGGTCAAAATGACGTAAAATGTGAAACATTATTAAAATCTGGACATGCATATACATTTTAAGCAAAAAGATTTAAATGGCTAAGTGACAATAAATTGTAAAGTTGTACCTTAAACAAGTGTATCCAATGTTAAAATATAGGTATTTAGTAACACTGAATTTAAAAGTATTACAATAACATTTAAAAAATGTAAATTAATAAAAAAGATTGATAATAATAATTATAAATCATTTTAGCTTTATGTTAATCGAAATGTCATTCATCCACTGGCGTTTATGAGATGTTCAATGATACATATATTATAGATTGCTCACCCAACTATAAAAAAATTATGAGAAGCTGGTTGCAATGTGCCTTTCCTAGTGCTCACTAAATAGAGCCGTTCTAGTCCAAATGTGTTAAAATAAAATTTCAGCATTTTAATCTTTAGAAAAAGATAATAATTAAAGTTTTACTTCAAGACATGTCATTATGTATTTGGAAAGTTGAGTTTTCATGTAGTTAAATAATATTAAGAGATCTAAACAATTTTTATAACAGATGGATATAAATAATTTTAGACTACTATTTCAGAAACAATTCTACATAAAATACATAATTGCAATATGTAATACAATTTTGAAAAGGTAATGTAAACAATTTTGATATGAGGTATGAACAACTTTGGTAAGAGTTGTAATTGGACACTTATCTATTATTCTGAATAATGTTTAATGGTAATGTCACTAAAAAATTTACAAAAAATCACTGGATTTTTAATATTTTAAAGTTTGTTACAATCTCTTTTGACAGTAATTGCAATGTATTATTTATGATTTGTTTATTTTAATAATAAATGAGAAATAGTTAATAAATTGTAAAGAGGGCCGTGATATTTTTGTCAAATTGGATATTCTTATTTCATAACATTCTACATTAGTTTTAATCAACAGAATAAACCATTATCTGTAAAATTATATTTATATAAAATGGTCATTTAAATATGTAAAAATCTTAATGACAAGAAAACACTAAAGATTCTAATTTTTCTGTAAATGATTTCTTTACAACTAAGTGCTCAAAATTGATACAAGCTAGATAAAAAGAAAACTTTGCCCAGTGAAATACGCTTTTCGTCGTCTGATTTACATATGGATAAGCAATCTTTGTAATTATGTATATCATTGGGTGTGAGGCATAATTGTGCTCTGTGGAAATTTATAAAATTTCTTTACTATCGAATGAAATCCAGGTTTCTAAAGTGATGTGTTTGTACATCCACGGATGCAACAAGTTTTTTCGATATTGATATTACGAAAATAATTCGACTTCATTTTATTAATAATTATTAAACAATAAATGCCGTATAAAACATTAATAAATACCCCCCAAAAAGTTCACATTTTTGTCACCAGTTAGCGTTAAAGTCATGACGCACGGTCCCTATATCTAAGGGGGTAGCGACATAGTCTTGCATCTTGGACGCTATTTTTATTTGAAATAGTAGTCGCCAAGCCTGCCAATTTATGAAAAAATGTATAAGCGGTTTTTTTTAAATATTATTTATATTGTGTTTGACATAAAATATTTAAATGTAATCATTTTACGTATAGAATATAGAATACATCGTATGTCGCAATGTAAGTCAATGTAAAATAAAGTGATTTTTTAAAAAATTGGTGAAAATAATCCAAATAATGTGAAAAAAGTACCTGAGTACAAGTAATATGAGTGAAAAAAAACATCAAAGCAAGATTTACGTCGTTCCAGATTGTAAAACAGGATAAAAATCAAATGTAAAACTAAATAAAACACAAGAAGAAATCAATTCAATGTCTTTTTAAAGCTTCTAATATAAGTAAAATAATGTATTCATGTCTAAATATAATATTTATTGTAAACTAGTCACAATATGTATCTTACGAAGTTTATTTTATTACAAGTTTTTATAATATAAAATTTTACAGTCATTGATGCTGACTTACAAACAACAATAATTATTATGCATTAAATTTAACTTACTAGAAAAGAAAATTTATTTTTTATATAGTTTTAATGTTAGATAAATAGTTGCTGCTACTGTTATTTTTTTTTAACCCCAATTGTGTCATTGAAATTTTTATTATAGGATACTAAACGTTTAGAACAGTGGAAAAATATATACCGTTCCTAGTGCCGATAAAGCACTTTCTAGAGATGATGCTGTTCTATACTCTTTAGAAGATATTATTAAATATTATGAAACTATTTTTACTGATGGTACTGTTAGCAAAATAAAAAGGATGAGGTAATATCATGTACATTCCCAAATCTCCCTCTATACTTGTATTACAACAATACAAAAATCTGTTAACTGTGTTTTATTTTACTCTTAAAACTATATATTGGTTCAATAACAAAAAATTGTCACACAATTGTAATTTCAGTATTTAAGAAACCTTTTCGAATTTGGTTAAACATACCCAATTTGTATTTTATATAGATAAAATTAAATAATTTATCAATTAAAACATGCAAGACTTATTCAGAAATAAATACAACAATATGTTCTGTGCTTTATTTAGCTAAACAAGTTTATTTTTATTATTTTGACAAAATTATGTATAATTCTCATAAGAAGCCACGAATTTTGAACACCGTATGCAGTACCAGCCCCCATGCGGTTAATTATAGAAGCTCAATTAGCATGCGTTTTTTGCAATGAGGTTGAATACTATGGAGATGACATGCCAAAAAAAAATGACACCCTTCCCCCTTTCTTAGTGGTCATGTCATAGTTGTCAAAGAGCTGTCAGAACTTTGTTCAAATTTAAATATTTCGACGTTATTACTATCTTAATAAGTGTTTTTTTTTATTAATTTGTATAAAAATCATGACTAAGTGTGCCAAAATTAATTGTAAAAACTCTTCAGTGAAAGAGCGTAAGAAAATATCTAATTTAAGTTTTCATAAGTAAGTATAAGGAGTGTACTTAGAATTTTTTTAGAATGCTTAACTTTTTTTTATTATAGGTTTCCAAAAGACCCACAATATCTCAAAATTTGGTCTAAATTTGTGAGAAAAGACCAATTTGAGCCTAAACCGAATAGCATGTTGTGCTCTATTCACTTCAAGGAAGAATTTTTTGATAAGAGTGAGTTTAGGGTCAGATTGAAGAAGAATGCTATTCCGACAATAAGTGAATGTTTAGTTAGTATACACTTTATTTACAATAAAACTTAAATAACTAACTTAATAAAGAACTTGGCTTGACTAACTTTATAATAAAGACAAATAACTATATTAAAACTTAGATAACTATAATAAAACTTAAATAACTAACCTTATAAATAAACTTAAAAACCAACTATATTTAAACTTAAAAAACAACTTATAATTACACTTAAATGACTAACTTTTTAAGTAACACATAATTTAGAATAACATTTCAAGTATTTAGAAGCACTTTTTATTATATCCTAATTTCTTATTATTATACCGTTTTGATAATGAATATACTGTATAATAATAAATACTGGTGATGTATTTTTATTATTTAATTAGATTTGTGGCCATCACTCACTGCTATGTACCTCCTCATCCCCATGATATAAAATAATATGCCCGCTCATGTACCACATTACAATTATTATTAATATTAAATGAACAAACATTAAATTGATATTCCTTAATTTAAAAACCTGCCGACTTTGTTCACAATACACAATAAATATAATTTAAAACATATTAAGAAGTTAATGATATTTAAAAATTAGTAGTTTTGGAACTTAAACTAGTAGTTTTTGTATCATGGATCTATATTTAAGGCTTTATAACATACCAAATCTTGTTCCAGACTAACCCATCCATACTTACACCTCCTCCTCCAAAAATCAGGATCCTATCAAATATTTTTATTAAACCAGCAAATCAAACCAGTCAGATCGAATTACCTGTACCCTCTACTTCTTCTCTAAATATTCCATATGAAGAACCGCTGACGCCAAAGAAACAAAAAATATTACATACACTTTCCTCTGTCCGGGCAACAAGTGCAAAAAGAAAGCAAAAATTAAAATTGCTAAGACGACAACTTTCTCGAAAAGTGAATAAAATTGCCAACTTAAAAAATATATTAAATGATTTAAGTAAAAAACGTTTGATACAGGAAGATGAGTTAGATATAATGTCAAAACTTGGGGGCCCCATCGAGATATGTAGCAGGCAATTAAAAAAAAGTCTAACCTAAGAAGTATTCAGAAGAGCTAAAAGTGTTTTCGTTAACTCTCCACTATTACTCACCTGCTGCTTATAATTATGTAAGAAGAACATTTGACACTTGCTTACCACATGTCCGTACAATCAGTCGATGGTATCAAAGTATAAAAGGTGAGCCTGGATTCACAAGTGAGGCTTCCAATGCCCTACAGATTAAATCAAATTATTCCAATGAAAAAATAATTTGTGCACTTATTATGGATGAAATGGCCATTCGTCAACATGAGGAGTTTGTTGGAAGCGAACGTAGAAGTTATGGTTGTGTAGATGTAGGAACGGGTGCAAATGAAACTACGCTTGCAAACAATGCTTTTGTTTTTTTATTAAATTGTGTAAATGGAAGCTGGAAAATTCCAGTAGGATATTTTTTAATTTCAAGTATGACAGGTGAACAGAAAAAAGGGCTGGTATTAGAATGCTTAAAGAAATGTTATGAAGTAGTTGTTAGTGTTGTAAGTTTAACATTTGATGGTGCTTCTAATAATCTAACAATGGCCAAACTCTTGGGCTGTAATTTACATCATACAACTTTAAAAACTAGTTTCAAGCATCCATCAAATAATGAAGAAATTGTTATATTTTTAGATTCGCCACATATGCTAAAGTTAATTAGAAATACTTTAGCAAAAAAGTATTCATTTGTAAATGAAGAAAATAAAATTGTTGAGTGGAAGTATTTCAAACAACTTCACGAATTACAGGAAAATAATTCTTTCCACTTAGTAAATAAGCTAAACTCGCAACATATAGCTTTTAAAAAACAAAAAATGAAAGTTCGTCTTGCAACCCAACTATTTAGCGAAAGCGTCGTAACTGCCTTAGATTTTTGTGCGAACGTTCTACATATCGAAGATTTTAAAAATGCTGGGGCGACAATTAATTTTATTAGAAAAATGAACATTCTGTTTGACATCCTGAATTCACGAAATCTTTTGCAATTTAATTATAAGAAACCTCTATCTGAAAATAATTACAATAATACATGTATTTTTCTTGACTCTGTCGATAAATATATTAGTTCTTTAAGAACACATGCTGATGGTAAACTTCTATTATAAACTGATAGGTCCACTGGCTTTCTAGGTTAAAAAATATGCATTGCAAGTCTAAAATTACTATAAAATAATTTAATTGTAGAAAATAAGTTTTTAAAATTTTTGCCTTTGTACAAAATTTCACAAGACAATTTAGAATTATTTTTTTGTTCAATACGATCTCATGGAGGTTTTAACAATAATCCTACAGTCAGGCAATTTCAGTCTGCATAAACAAAATTTTAGTTCATGTTGAATTAAGAGATAGTTTCCGTGGAAATTGTATTCCTTTGGAGGAATTAACTATTTTAAAGTGCAATATAACAAGCCAATTAAATGTTATTTCAAAGGAATATGCAATGTCTGATAATATTGATGATTTTGAGAAAGTGAATGTTATTGAAAATGATCATGATTATCCAGTCTCCTCCTTTTCTAAATATATAATCACTTACATTTCTGGATATGTTGTTTATTATTTAAAAAAGAAAATCATTTGTGAACAATGTCTAGATGCTTGAATAAGTAAAACTAGAGATTTGTTTCTATTTTCATTCATTGATATAAAGAATAAAAATGGTTTGCAATATCCATCGGAAGATTTAATAAACATTTGTTTGAAATGTGAAAAAATATAATATAATTTTACCAAATTTGGCAAAAGTTTTTGGTGTCATAAGATACGTTACACTTATTTGAACTATAATTATATATTTTTTGATGTTTTTTAAGTAAATCATATAGGTACTTTTGTTGGGAACTTATAAGAAACTTCAAAATTAAAATGAAGAATATTCGCATTCTAAGCTTAGTCTTATTTTTAATCAGACTCTTCAGTTGTTCTGTATCCCTTTCTCAATGAGACACCTTGTATATAAACTTCCCACTTTTCAAGTATGTACAATACAGGTGTATCAGAAATTAAAGCAAAAAGACAAGTTATAACAAAGGTTTAAATTTAGTAATGTCAAGTCATCCTTGCACCCTAAAAAAGTACCAATGAAGAAATTAATTATTCCTCCAATGCAACCAAACAGTTATTTTTAGGATAAGATTTTGTGTCCACAGCCACAGGGTTTCTTTTTAAATGGCATGACATTCAAAATTTTGGTCAAAACAATTTTCATCATGCACTTTTCTTGGAAATTCACAATGCTTTATTAGGATTAAAAACACCAGTTTCTAGAAACTTTTTCACTATAACACTAACATTACTGATCAGAAAAAATGGTTAAAGTTTTCTTTTTGTAATCACAAATCGCAACTGAATGCCTATTTTTAAAATAAATTATCTCTATAATTCCATTTGTATAGTTGTATGCTGTGCATCTGTGAGATTGTTGTTTATTATTTGTTTTGGTAATTTGATGTCATAATTCTCCTCATTGTCAGATTTTGACATTGGCAGCTTTGATCAAGACAAGAGAGTCCTTGAACGAAAAATCGTAGTTCGGGTTTTAGTTTTAAAGCACAAAGAGATTAACAAATCTGTTGCACAGTGTTATTCGAACGTTGATTTTCGATCACACAGGTCATAGGTATATCGGACGGTTTCGGCGAAGACCGAACAATATAATAATATTAATCTCTTTTATGTTCTTGGCATTGGCTTGGTCGGAAAATGGTTAATAAATAATAGTAAATAGTGTAGAAGTCATAATTGCGCAATGTCATCAAATTAATTTCAAATCGATCATGTTGAAACAAATCTTAGGTAAGTAAGTCATTTAAAAGTTGTAATTCTGCATACGGACTTTTATTTGAATACGACCCTGCTTAGTCAACCATTTAAGCCACGCCCAGTGTGGTCATTTTTAATAAAACGTATCATATGCAAAACAATTGCCTCATGGCATCTCCACGGCATAAAAAACAATCGGCAGGCTAACTTGTCTTGGCGGCAACGCTACGCGCACATCTACGCGCACACCGCTATTTAGGGGTCCAACCTCTCAATCAAGCCAGTGGCGTCACTGTCGTCGTTTATATCGACAAAAACAAACAAGTTGCAGCAGCTCGGAATCAGTAGCGTGTGTCTTAAATTTATTTTGTCTGTGATGTGTGTATTATGTAGTTATTGTTATTTTTTTAGAATTATAGATATTTTTTGACACTTTTTATATAGTAGTTGTTTTCCAGTGTTAATTTGTTAACTTTTACGTGTTTTACTATGACTGGGCAAAGTTGTGCAGCAAAAAACTAAATGAATAAACTATATTCAAAGATTTTTTCGGTTTCTTAAAGATCCTATTAGGTAGGTATGTATGGTATACTTAAAAAAATCCTAGGTTATATGTCAGTTTGTCAGTTATAAACCTATTAGTAAGATGTAGGTAGGTGCCCAGTTAACGTCACGTAAAGTTTAGCATCAATTTATATTTACTTATGTAGGTATATTATTAGGATTTAAACATCTCCCGTATGGAGTTGACAAAATGGAAAAATATTTATTTTTATTTTAATGAAAAAGTCATTATAAAAAAATTCTGTTTGACGAAAAAATAGGTTTACTATATTAATATGTTAGGTCAGGTGTACAGGGTCTTAATAAATAAAGAAACTTGAAATGGACAAAAGGAAAAAATCTGTATTACCTATTGATTTTACGAAGAAAAGTCACAGTTTTTCTGTCAGTTTTCCTTCATAGAATCATTATTACGGTGTAGGATCCTTTCTTGGAAAGGGGTGTTTTACCTGCTTATGCAAAATTGTCCTGCAAAAAATATTATTAATAATGTTATGTAATAAAATGATCAGAAATTCTCTTCGATATTAGGAAGTTTTATATGTACTCCAACAAAAACATCTAAGAAAGAAATATCACAGCGGTGTTTGACCTTAATATAAGTATAGGATATTTAATTTTCTTTTGAGTTTTTATTTTTTTGTTCTAATTTTATGTAAGTTTTGTTTTTCGATCAATTGCTTTTTTTTATCATTTCTATTTTCGATCAATTTTCTATTCGATAAAATGTTTTTTTCGATCAAATGTTTTCGATCAATTTCGTGCCACCCATAAATAAACAGTATATTCCTAAAAGTTATGGTAAAATCAAAAAGATATAGAGCTTCCCACCGTCGCTGAACTTATTAATAATAAATAAAAATAATATAGGAAAATTAAAAAATACAAAATTAAGAAAAATTGAAAATAAAAAAATAATTTATAGTTTTTATTTGACTATTTGAAGAAATACTATCGAACAAATTTGCAATAGTTTATTTAAGAAAAGCGTGTTGAAAGTATTATGAACTAAGATTATTTATAAATTTAGTAAATATAATCTTATTTTCACAAATTCAGCAAAATTTTAATTTTACCCACAAGTTCAGATGTTATCAATCAGTTTAGTGTTACTGCTGCAAAATCTACATCATGTCGAACAAAATTATTTTAAGTTAAAAATAGTCCAAAAAAAGTTATATAGGTATTTTCGAGAGTTTGTGTCAAAAACAAGACCAAGATGGCCTCTTTATCGCAACAAATGAGTTTATACTCAATGACCAGGATGGCTCTAACGCTAGGTCCTGGCTTAGGATTCCTTATATTCCTTCACTCCGGTACGTTAAATATGAGACCTGATATTCTGGATCTTGATAATAGGGTCAGAGACGTACCTATATATGAAATAAACAGCACTTACGATTTTGTGATAGCTGGCGGTGGAAGTGCAGGGACGGTTCTGGCTAATAGGTAAGTGCACATTAAGCCAAACTCAAAAGCATTGAACATTTTAAAAAAAATAGTGTTTTCGACTATTCTGATATCATCAGGTTTAAACATAACTGAAGAATAAACGGACTGGGCTTTGTTTGATCAAAATAATATATTTTTTTAATAATCAACATAGTTTTTCGAGTAAAAAATCAACAAATACGGCAGTTTATTCCTATTATAGTTAATTAACAAAATACATTGAAGCAGGTAAATGTCCGGTTGGACTATATTGTGATTTCAGATGAACATTCGACTGCGTCAATCAATAGTTTCTTTTAAATAAACTTTATATATTTATATGGGATAAGGAGAAGTGACCTAATTGGATTGAAGATGTTACGGTTAATTGAAAACAACATGTAATAGTTAAAATATTTCAATAGTACAGGTGCAAAATCATCTTGGTGTTCCTCAGAGCTCCATTTTGGGCCCTAAATTTTTTTATTTTGTTTATCAACGACTTAGATGAAATTCACATACTTGCAATTTAATAAATAATTCGTAAACCCGAATAAGTAGACAACAATTAAGGCAAAAATAACACTCAAACCAACCCCTTAAGGACGCCACAACACTTCCGGTTTTTGATAACATGATTTAAATTTGAATTTTAATTAATCCTTTCCCACGTATAAAGTGTCTAAAAATTGCAAGAGGTAAATCAATGCTTAACATATTGGAAGAGTAGTGATAAAAAGTAGTGAATAATGATTATTCATCGGTAATAGTGCATAATGCATTTTAAGTGAGAAAACTAATAAAAAAAGTTATATATTGTAAAATTGTAGAGGATAAAATCTTTTAATTCAAAACTGTTTAAATAATTTAAAATTTAAGGTGACACCAATATAAAAAAATATCTGTGGTTTCGCAATTGATAGGGATAGTCATCCATAGATCGGATTTTACTATGTTTGAGTGTATAAAATAAACTACATCAGAAATGTATTGGATTTTGAAAATATTGATCTAAAAGCAGTTGGGTTAAACCAAAAATTATGAAAATCAATAGGGCTCTAAGTTAAAAGCAATTATTCAAGAAAATCAAAAACACAAGGCTTTCGCTTAGAGTTTTCGTGCCGGCATACATACGCGTAGTCGACCAGATGAATTTTTTTTTTTGCATATGAAGGGCCTCGGTAATTATTTTCTAAGTAACAATGCGAAAATCCTCTCTTATTTCAAACTTTCTAGAACGTTCTGTATACAGATGGATAACAATAATTTAATTCAGGATACAAAAATCAAATTAAAAAGAATAACAAAAGAATTCGTAACGGAAATGGTATTTCCACAAACTACGATTATAAAAAGTCAATGAGTGAGACTATTCATTTAAAATAAATGCCCTAAGTTTTATATATTTCATATATTGAAGATGGCTATTATTTTGGTATTATCAGTTGTCAACTTGTCCAAAGCAGAAACTAATAAATCTAAGTCCCGTAGAAAAGGAAATTTTGGTTTTATAACTAAATATATTGGGCAAGTACATACAGCAGTGCATAATTCATCAGGGCAAAAATAAAACGCAATTTATAGCTTTTTCATTTCACTATACATTGCCCTTTTTATGATTTTCGATTTTTCGATTTTTCTATTATTTTTCGATTTTTCGATTTTTCGATTTTTCGATTTTTCGATTTTTCGATTTTTCGATTTTTCGATTTTTCGATTTTTCGATTTTTCGATTTTTCGATTTTTCGATTTTTCGATTTTTCGATTTTTCGATTTTTCGATTTTTCGATTTTTCGATTTTTCGATTTTTCGATTTTTCGATTTTTCGATTTTTCGATTTTTCGATTTTTCGATTTTTCGATTTTTCGATTTTTCGATTTTTCGATTTTTCGATTTTTCGATTTTTCGATTTTTCGATTTTTCGATTTTTCGATTTTTCGATTTTTCGATTTTTCGATTTTTCGATTTTTCGATTTTTCGATTTTTCGATTTTTCGATTTTTCGATTTTTCGATTTTTCGATTTTTCGATTTTTCGATTTTTCGATTTTTCGATTTTTCGATTTTTCGATTTTTCGATTTTTCGATTTTTCGATTTTTCGATTTTTCGATTTTTCGATTTTTCGATTTTTCGATTTTTCGATTTTTCGATTTTTCGATTTTTCGATTTTTCGATTTTTCGATTTTTCGATTTTTCGATTTTTCGATTTTTCGATTTTTCGATTTTTCGATTTTTCGATTTTTCGATTTTTCGATTTTTCGATTTTTCGATTTTTCGATTTTTCGATTTTTCGATTTTTCGATTTTTCGATTTTTGGATTTTTCGATTTTTCGATTTTTCGATTTTTCGATTTTTCGATTTTTCGATTTTTCGATTTTTCGATTTTTCGATTTTTCGATTTTTCGATTTTTCGATTTTTCGATTTTTCGATTTTTCGATTTTTCGATTTTTCGATTTTTCGATTTTTCGATTTTTCGATTTTTCGATTTTTCGATTTTTCGATTTTTTCGATTTTTCGATTTTTCGATTTTTCGATTTTTCGATTTTTCGATTTTTCGATTTTTCGATTTTTCGATTTTTCGATTTTTCGATTTTTCGATTTTTCGATTTTTCGATTTTTCGATTTTTCGATTTAGAAAAAATATACTGTACAACTCGAGTGGATTGTCCATATCACACTGAGACAATTGAGCACTCCACCTATGGCGCCGTGCTCAAACTTCGTCTTCGTGCGATATGGCCTTCATATCCTTTCTTGTTGCACAAACTATTTATTTCCCAAAAAAAAAAGGAAAATGCTAAGTTACAATGAGAATGAATGAATGAATGTCATAATAAATTTAGGGTAAAATATAAAAAAACCACTGAGACAAAACTTAAAAATACGTAGTAATACCAACATTAATTTCACATTATATTTTATTAAAGTTCAAAAATGTTTAAAATAGAAATTAGAAATTCTTCAAAAAATCCATTAGAAACCTGGATTCAGTCGTGCCAACTTTATGGTTCCACTAACAATTAAAGTGATAGTAGAGTTTTTGAGTGCGTTTTGTTTACCTAAATTATATCGTTTTTTCACTTTTATAAATATATTCTTAAAGTAAGTAGGTAACATGCATCAAATATACAATCGTTTAGTTACCAATAACATACCTTTAACTATTTTTTACGACCTATAAACAATAGTTAGAAATAAACTAAAAACAGTAAAAACGTATATGTCAATTTTATTGAGGTTTTTGTTAAAAGTTTGGTTAGAATTAAATGTCAGTGGAACTAAAATGACATCACACTGAACTAGCGTATTTGAATTGTTCATTTAAAATGATTGTAATTATTACTTTTATTACTATTGTACTTACGCGTTTATACTTAAAAATGTATGACACAATGCTTAATAGCTTTTAAAGTATTCGCAACGTTAATGCCACTCCGCTGCTCGTCTCGTGGCCTTAAACTCGTTGCTTTTGCTTTAAAGGCTCGATTATGCATTAGTGTCATAATATACTATCATTATGGTTAGTTTTTCAAATATAATATATTATAAAATAACCTTCGGACCTTTGTTAAATATTTTAACGTTACCTTGCGTCGTAAATTACGAGTTAATTACGACTACTTCTCTTTAATAACAAACTTAAATTTATTAAAAATAACTAAAACTCATAGTCATAATAACAGACAAAAACACAATTATTCGGTTCCTTTCAATAGGTGTCAAACTACTTTCCGATCACAGAACTGTATGGGTCGGTCCCAGATTATACAATAAGTTGCCAAGTGGTTTCAACCTTTAAAAAATTACTTAATGTATATGCTACTGGTTAGAAATCTAGATGTTTTAAAACGGTAACATCGATGCACGAAGTGTGACCTATTGGTAACGTCTTTATCTGAGTAGACCCTAATAATAAAACAAAATAGTTATGCCGACGAAACCAAAATAAAAAACCCTGTTCGGTCATAAATGCTACGACCTTTATAGTAAAAAAATACCGTTTTTAGATTAAGTGAAAACCCATTTTGGAATATATTGCTTCTGGAAGCCGGCCCTGATGAGATTACCATATCGGATATGCCTTTAATGTTTCCTACCTTACAACTGAGCCCGTTGGATTGGCAATACCAAACCGAACCTGGAGAAAACTATTGCTTGGGGTTTAAAGAACAAAGATGCAACTGGCCAAGGGGTAAAGTACTAGGAGGTTGTTCGGTATTGAATGCCATGCTGTACATTAGAGGAAATAAAAAAGATTATGACAGGTAGTACATATTTTATAGTATTGTTAGGGGTTGCTGCAATAAATAATGGCTCTTTTAAAGCTTTAAAGTCAGTTATTTGTCCCAATTGCTTCGCCAGTGAAAACTAATCCGTACATTTCTCAAACATACATGATGATACCTATCCACTTTTAGCAAGATGAATATTTTTTGTAAGAAATATTACCTAATAATATTTTTTTTATAAATTAATCTAGTTTTCTTTAAATAATATTTATTTTCATTTAAAATGCATATTTTGTAATTTTATAGAGCATTGAAAAATTTAATTTGATTGGGTTATCAGCCAATCTATTGAGAATTGAGATATTTTATTTATATTGCCCTGTGAGGCTTATTTTTCTGAAAATACCTGTGGCTAACTCTCAAACTAGGTTAAGCTTGAATTACCACTTTATTCGATGGTGATGTCGATTTATTTGATTATTTCCCATTATTATTATTATCCAATTTAATCAATATTTTCTTTTGATTAATTAATTTAATATAAAAAAAACTCCCAAATGAGGGGAACATGTAGGTATGTTACAAATGCCATTTATACCTGTGTATTCTTTTTAGATGGGAAGCTGTGGGAAACCCGGGATGGAAATACGAGGATGTTTTGCCTTATTTTAAAAAATCTGAAGACATGAGAATTCCAGACTTAATGGATGATAAATATCATGGTACAGGCGGATATCTTACAGTTGAAAATTACAGGTAATCTTTTTTCTATACCTATCGTAGAAAAATTTCAAATCTTGATATAGACCAATTTGTTATACAAAAAAGTTTCGTTAAAGTGCTTTCTGCAAAAAAAATACTTGAAAAATCTAATTTTTAAATGAAAAAAAGCAAAAAGGAAGGTCAAATTAGTCCCAACGGGTGGAAATAAGCTTTTTGTGTCTCATTTCAACAATTATCAGTATCAGAATCAATAAACATTATCATATTACTTAATCTTTAGCCCGAGAGACTCGTACCTTCCCGTTAAGCAGTGACTAAAGTTGTGTATTTGTAGTGAACGCGTTTGAGTGTTCATCCGCGACATGTACCTATCGTTTCGATTAGTAACAGCAGTCGGAGTTTCTGACTAAAAATAGAACCATTATAGGTACACGCTCGGGTACACTCCATTATCTCTGGGTATACCTGTACATTGTGTACACATTTCTATATTGTATCTACACTTACCCATATTAAGATTTCAAAATAATCTATTTTTAATGTTAAAAAGGTGTCCCCACTTACAAAATTTGCCTCTGCAGAAGCAAATTAAATACTTATATTAATTTCATTATTTTTATGCAATTATTATTTTATTTTTCTGAAAATTAAAACTGTCAAAATTGTGGTAGGTATATATTACCTATCTAGAAGCGTAAAAGCGTAAATTACAAATTTAAAATATTATAGGTAGATCAAAGTGACTTTAAAAACTTCTAAGGTTAGATAACTATTTTACAAAAATGGCCCAGTCACCCAAAATATTTTTAATAGGTATATTTCAAATGAAATGGTAACTAAAAAAATCTTAAATAATATAATGATGAAAAAAATATTTGTAATTATTTTGTTTTGTAAATTACTTTCGTCCCCTTACATTTTTAAAAAATTATAAAAATAAGGTGTATGACATATTCTATTTTTAATTTTTTTTTTTAATATTTACCGTTTGAAAACAAACTTTTAAATTTAGATCACTATTTTACAAAAATAGTCAAAATATTTTTAAAAATCCAATTTTGAATTAAAAAAAAAAACCAAAAAGGAAGGTCAAATTAGCCCCTACAGGTGGAAATAAGCTTTTTATGTCTCATTTCAACAGTTTTAAATTAATCAGGTTTGATACAACATTACTTGATATAAGTCAATCTTTATCCCGAGAGGCTTGTACCTTCCCGTGAAGGTGTGGCTAAAATTGTGTATTTGTAATAAACGCAACTGAGTATTCGTCCGCGGCATGTAACGGGTCTACTAACAAGCAGCAATGGAATAAAATCGATTTTTAAAAGAATGTTTATAGTTAAAATATCGTAAATTTTTTTTAACAAATACTTTTCAAATTATTTATTATTATTTTTAGATATATTAACAGATTTTTTGCATAAAGTTAAAAACAAAAAAAAGTACTGCGGGTTGCATACCATACAGAAAATTATTGATCGCTGAGCAGAGGTGTAAAACAGTGTTGCCTACGTCGTTACATAATTTAGTCATTAGAATAGCAATAAGAACTGAGTTTTTTAATTTTCAATAGGCACGGGTTATTTTTTCCATAGATTGGGACCAGTAGCGCATCTAGTAGCGTAGGGGGTAGTGGTAATGTAGTCTATGCATGGAGGGTAGTGTAGTAGTGTTGATATGGTTTAAGTGTGGGGGTATAGAGAAAGTAAAAGTTGAAAAGTCTTTTGGTAGGTAGAGAGGGGGTAAAAGTCAAACCACGTCGGGCGGCTCCGAGAATTTCACAGTAATGTTTACCTGCCAGTGTCGTTTCATAGAATAAGTAATTTTAAATTGTTATCGGCGGAACCGGACAATCGCATGTATTTATGGATTATAAATAATTATTAAACATGTATTATAATATTCAAATTATAATTTTACAAAATTTCAACAGCTATTTACAATTTATTAAACTATTTACTCGAAATTGTTATTAACATCTATAAAATAATTTTGTACGCCAATGTATCGCGTCCACTTCGGTGAGATCCGCTGCCAACCTGTCAATTTATGTGTATAAAGTGGGAGAACTGGCAAAAGCATTTTCAACTTTTACTTCTGTTCTAGTAATAATATTTAAGACTTTATTTTTGATATTAATAGATGTTAGTACTTATACAGTGAGCATCATAAGTCTTACCCCCCCTAACTAACTCGTTACTGGAGTCTTGTTAGGAAAATCGCCGAGACAGGTCGATTTTTGTTTTCTACAATGTACATTTTTGTATGATTAGTTTACCCTTAATTTCATCCCTTACTGGAGGGGAACAACCTTTTCGAAAAATTTAAATGGCATGGGGTGGTGAGTGATAGCTCATTTGAAAGGGGGTTTTATTCTCTATTCAACCGTGCAAAAAAATTTTAAATTTGCTTCATTACGTGTTGATTTATTAATGTTTAAAAATAACAAAACCTCACAAAATAGGAAAGTAACTAAACTAATAGTAACCTTCTAATGGCAAAAAGTCTTACTTCACGTCTGAACCAAAACCGAAATCATGCAGGGCCGAATTTTAATTCTAAGGATGAGTGCGCTACGTTAATTTCCGTTATTCTGAAACAACAATTAGTCGAGAATTAATGAAGCAAATTTCAATTTTTTTTACATGGTTGAATAGAGAATAAACCCCTCTTTCAAATGAGCTATCACTCACCACCCCATGCTATTTAAATTTTTCGAAAGGGTTGCTCCCCTCCAGTAAGGGATGAAATTAAGGGTAAACTATTCATACAAAAATGTACACTGTAGAAATCAAAAATCGACGTGTTTCGGCGATTTTCCTAACAAGACTCCAGTAACGAGTTAGATAGGGGAGGTAAGACTTATGGTGCTCACTGTATAAACTTAGGTATAACAATTCTTGCGCCCCTGATTGGGACTGTCAGAAAATGGAATTTTAAAAAAATTCTCCATATTTAAGGATGGGTACAACGAAAATATGTTTGGAAAGAGAATATAATGAGTATGATGTCAACCATATGACAGATAATGGTTTGTATCGATAGAAGTTTGTTTCGTAGTCATGGTAATCATGTAGGTACCACATCGATAATACAACACTAGCGTCACTTACAACAAAATTCATTAGACTCAATTTATCAGTACTTATATACGTTGTTTCTAGTACTAAACAGTAGCCATGTTGATTATAGTGACATCAATAATTTGACATATACAGTATATAGTGTGACACGTCACACGGTTGGATGACATATTTTATTTACAAGTGCGGTACTCTTACACTCTTGCGGTTACTGTTTTTGAGTACTTTAAGTCTTATTAGATCCATAAAGTTGGATCCATACGGGACTTTTTTAATATTATGATAGAAAAAAAAACATCGTAAGGCCTTTACCCACAAAGCAAATAGAGGTTCTACGTGAATAACCAAGGTCAAAATCAACAACTGACATTTCTTATGCTATTGACTCCAAACCATAGATGGGGCTACTAGAGAAATTATGATTTCTTACTCCATTTTTAATTTTTATGGGTGAAAAATTTAACTAAAGAATCCAAACATGTGACGTGTATTTATGTTTTATTAAGGTTATTCTCATTTTTCTGTCTGATTTTAGTGATTTTTTTGTTGGCTTTGGCTTTTGGTTTCTGTTTATAGTTTCTTCTTAGTTATTTGCAAAATTGCCATGTTTTGTTTTTCTATTTCCTACTGCCCATACAGCACACATTATTTCAGAAATATTTCAAACGTTTCAAACTTATAACATTTCAAGCACAAGTTTCTGAAATATTTCTGAAATATTTTAGTTGAATATTTCACTGAAAATGTTTCTGAAACATGATATACATGTTACACAAAAGGTTACTAAACGGGTTATGTTGCAAAAGGCCAACAATTAATGAAGAATTTCTGACTTGTAGAAGAAGATGGGATATATAGTTATTTTATTTTTTATTTCATGATGTTCCTGTCCAGTCATCAGCTAGAAACAAGCCTTTATTTTAAATAATTATTATAGATTTGAGATGTTGGTTTTTGATATTCATGCGTTGTGAACTTGTTATATGGGAAGCAGAATACGTATTTAGAAATTAAGGTGAGAACTACATAAATAATGCTTGCTTAGGTGGATCTTCATGTTTTGTTTAGTTAATTTAAAACAATATTAATAAAACTATTGTTAATCAAATAATCTGTATAAATCCTTTTTAATTACCTATATTTTGTTTCAAATTATTGCATTTAAAGGAATTGGTGGAAATGAAGCAATTTGCCAGTAAAAATAACATCCAAGTTATTCAACGTATCCAGGATAAAGTATTAAGGAACATCGTCGATGCATCCTGGTACTGCCGTAATATTGATCTTCATAGGGACCTTAAAGTGAAGATTGTTGAAAATACAATACAAAAATTTGCCAGTAGTCACCAACATTAATTGTTCCAACATGGAAACCTTGAGATTATCCAGCTCCTCAACAATGCCAATCTAATAAGAAGACTCAAGAGAACCAGGCCTTTTGAGTTAGTTCAGTGATGTTAGATTAAAACACAGTATAGTGCGGTTAAGTGGTATACGTTAACGGTAGTGTAACTAAATAATTATACTCTAAAGTACACTATATAGTGAGTAGAATCTTAGTTTATGAAGTTTTTCATCCCTAAATAAGTTAAGTAAAAATAAAATTGCTAATTGATCTTAATGATTAGATTAAAATAATCGTAAATGTTTTTTTACTTGGAGCATTTATTAAAAAAAATCTAGTTGTGTCAAATTAGTGCATTTAATGGAATTGGCGGAAATGAAGCAATTCACTTCTATATTTATGAAATAATCTTTAAAACATATTTATTTATTTGTTTGTTTAAGAATCAATGTTTGAGTTTTGGGTATTTTAAATAAACATGCATATTTTTAAATGTCTTTTTTTAATCTGATAATATTAAAAAAGAAAAACTAGAATACATTTCTGAAATATTAATATTTAATATTTCTAAGATTTCAAATTTTCATTCCAGAAATATTACTGTG